GAGGTCTGACCCAGTTTCCAAGTTGTTTCCACATTTTGGATTTGTTGTTTCCACCCTTTACAATTCAGATCAATCTGGCACTGACTCCACATTCACCCTCACCCTCACCCTCACCCTCACCCTCACCCATTTGTTCTGTGAAGATGGCTCATATGCTGCCGCTCCTCCTCCACCGTCCTGGGATTAACAACAGTGAAACAAAGTCATGCCATACAAGCACGTCTGCTGCCTACCCATCAGTCCACAGCATGTGCCCAAGTGTGTGTAGTGTGGAGGAGGAGGAGGAGGAGGAGGAGGAGGGGGGGTGAGGGAGAGGAGGTGGCGTCTGCAGTCATTTGTGTCTCTTTCTGCCTGACTGACTGTGACACTGAGCAATGGCTTCATTCTGTTTTGCAGCCTCTGTCTGCTGGGGATAATGAATAATTAGGCTAGCACCACAAATAACAGAAGTTCCACAGGGAGTGGGAGTCGAGCGCTCGTCTGGAGCTCACACATCCACTGTGGAATATCCTCTCTCTTCCATCGTCACTGACTCACGTTTGAAGATTTCATAATCATGTTTGTGATAAATCCCAGTCTAAACAAACCATGGATTTGGGTGATCATTAGTGATCAGTGATTGGTGTTGCCAAATAATGCACCTGTCGGGCTGTGAAGAGCTGCGGTCATTTTTATACATGAACAGGATTTTTCTTAGTTCAGTGGAGGATTTTTCATTTTTATATGATTTAACATAATTCTATATCATTACAGTTTTGTCATATTGTGGCAGAAACCAAAGATTTGTTACTTCTGTATTAATGACCTGCCAACAACAGAGGCTTTTAGAGAAACACAAATCCACAGCCAACCTATAATCCTGCAGGGTGAGAGACAAACGACAATATTCACCACAATATATATAAGGCCAGTAATAGGAGGGGGGGGGGGGGGGAGTCAATGCATATGTACACGTTATATTAACTCTCAGCACAGATAACTGACAGGAACTGATCTGAGGTCAGAATCTGAAAAAAAATAAAGTTTTTTATTTCTGCTCATTTTTCATCTCCTCCCTCCCTCCCTCCCTCCCTCCCTCCCTCTCCTCCTTCCTTCCTTCTCTTTCTCCATCAGAGTGTCCAGCAGCAGAGGGAGGAGACAGCACCGTATCAGTCAGTTCTAACGGCGACGACACAGAGGAGACTCAGATCAGACTCCAACTGAAGAGGAAGTTACAGAGAAACAGGACGTCTTTCACACAGGAGCAGATCGATGCCCTGGAGAAAGGTAACATCTGAGGAGACATCAGGTTCAAGTGTGTCTATGGCCTTATATGGTCACATCCCCTGAAGGGCCTTCACTTGTTGTCCATTGATCTGCCTGCTGTGGATCAACTCAAATGTTGTTGTACAATGTTGCCTTTTCTGCAGAATTCGAACGAACTCACTATCCAGACGTTTTTGCCCGTGAACGCCTCGCAAACAAAATAGATCTCCCAGAGGCAAGAATACAGGTAGGTCTTTGGTCCTTATGGAGACAAGTCCAATCTCCAGCACCGTAGTCGTTTCCATGTGAGCAGATAGACTTTGAGACGATCTCTCGGTGTTAGCAGTGGACCAAACAGAACAAGCTTTTAGATCGATAGCATGGACCCCCTTCGGCCAATGTCCACCAGTGTTTCCTCTTTCTGTCTTCTGTCAAATGTAGGTTTGGTTCTCCAACAGGAGGGCAAAGTGGAGAAGAGAGGAGAAGCTGAGAAACCAACGTCGTCAGATGTCCAGCTCCTCGAGCCACATCCCCATCAGCAGCAGCTTCAACAGCAGTGTTTACCAGCCGTTAGCACAGCCCACTACACCAGGTAGTGACCGGGCCAAGTGACCGAGTCAAATGAAACAGTAGGGGGCAGTATCCCTTGGTTGGACCTGACCATGACCTCCTTCATTAATGCACCGTTCTGTGTTGCCAGTGTCCTTCTCATCGGGATCAGTGTTGGGAAGACCAGATCCAGTTCTGTCCAATGGATACAGCATACCAGCCATGCCCAGCTTCAGTATGGCTGCCAGCCTCCCCATGCAAGTAAGAAAACCTTTGTTTCAGTGTATTACATACTCAGCATTTCTGTTACTTCCTGGGAAAACACTGGGTTATGGAATATTCTGTCACCTTTCCCATCTCTTGTTGGTAAATAGTCACTGTAGTGAAAGGAAATGCACTGGTTATACAGAGTGATGTAGGAGATGAAATGTTATGGTTTGATGTTATACATTTCCAGATTAAATGAACCTCTGGTTATCTGATTTAAGAAGGATTCAAACCTTAAACCTTTCATAAAAACACTGGTTTTTATTTGGCTGTTGTTTCCAGGCCTCCAGTCAAACCTCGTACTCCTGCATGCTGCCCACCAGTTCTCCCGTAAATGGAAGAAGTTACGAGACATACACCCCTCCGCACATGCAGCCACACCTCAACAGCCAATCAATGACGTCCTCCGCAACATCGTCAACAGGTGAGAAAGCTGAACTGCAAGTAAAAATCGTTGGCTTCCTTTTAGAAGTTTGTAGAGAAAGTAAATCAGCGCGTGGTTTAGCCGTTAGCCTCCGTTTTAATGACTCCGCCCACTCTTACTCTGCTCAGGTCTGATCTCCCCCGGTGTGTCCGTCCCGGTCCAAGTTCCTGGAAGTGAAGCAGACATGTCACAGTACTGGCCACGACTGTAGTAACCGGCCTTGCCTGCATTGATCGTTGTTGCTGACTGTAACACGAGGTCTCAACGACTCTTTTAAAGATTTACTGGAACTATCTGTAAAAGAAAGAAGTGATACATCACTGTTGGAGGAACATTATTTTTTCTACCACATCCTGGAGACGAGCAGGACGAAGAGCGTTTTATTCAACACCTGAACTCCTTCACCGCATCATCTTCTTCAGCACGCCGTCCCTTAGTGTCGCTGCTCAGTTCAGTGGCAAGAATTAAAGCTTTACTCTGAGCAGTTCCCAGGAAGCTCAGACAGAAGGGCCGTCCTCCTCCTAAAAGGAATGAACTATTGTCAAGGAGTTTCAACGTTCTACAGGACGACATATTACCTCTACTTCAAGGTCCTAATTTATATCCTGTTTGTGTACTTGTAGCAAAAAGACAAAAAAACTAAAGAAAAACAAGGTTGACTAAAACTAAATGACACTTGAAATAAATAGTTGAATCAGTGAATCAGCACTGGCTCTGGACTGAGATCTGTACAGAATTGAAAATGTTAAATCTGGTTGTATGTGTTTCTAGTATTGTAAAAGATCTGCTAACAGATACCCCTCTCCTACATGAGGGTTTTTTTTTGTTTGTTTTTTTTTGGACTGGGGAAATAAACAATATAACCATCTGTTTGATAAGTGGAAATAGAGCCTACACTTGGCTAACTTACAAAAGCTGCTGGATTGTGTGTGGATGTAAATCTGTTATCAATTCTAAAGTGTAAAGTATTTGTCATTTCCAGTGCTCTGGAAAAGTTTCCTAAAAATAAAGTCAGTTTAATGATGTTGCCTTTTATCTGGGTGATTGATAGGACGTTCAGTGCTTTCAACGTGCAGTAACACATCACTTTACTCCACAGATCTTTGTCACTGCATACGCAGACGACAGTCAGGTTTATTTAACCTCTGATATAAATTTACTTTAGGATTATATATTATATTCATATTTTTATTGAGATCCAGGTGAAAATCGTCCATTTAGTGAATTTATTTTGTGTTTTGTGTAAGTTATTTTATACCAATCTGTTCTTAAAATGTTTTCACTCTGCTTCTTGAATTGAAACAAAATGCTTTTATGGAATGTAAATATAAAACCAACTCTCTATACAAAAACATATCTGAGACATGGTTGTATATTTACTACAGAAATATAAGAATGTTTAACAGACCTTACTCTGTTTGTGCCATGGCGTCATTAGGTCCGTTTGACCCTGAAATCTATGGGATATTTTTTTAATGTTAATTAAGGCTGTGTTAAAAATGGGTTTAGGATAAGAGGTAATCATTAACAACAACACACTATCTTTAGATCACACACACATCACATTTGTTGGAAAAGAAATATTCTGTTCATGGCTCCATCCTTCTGTTTCATTCATTAATTCACTCCACTCGTCACTTCTTCCACCGGCCAGCGGGTGGCTGCGAAATGAGAGGGGTCAACCTCACCTCATTTACCTAACAAAAGACCGGAGAAAAGAGAGAGGGAGAAAAAGACGGTGTGACGGCTGTCACGGAGAGAAAAGGAGATGATGTTGGAGACAGATGACCTGCAGCTCTGCACTGAAAAGTTCCATTCCATTCCATTGACATCATCATGTCAGCACCTATCAATTACTGTCTGCATCAGACTGCATCATAGAGTCTCTAATCATCCACAGCTCTTACAGAGTGATCAATGAGGCCTGGCTACCTGCCACCAGTGAAAAGGAAGGATGACACGATCATTAGGGTTGTTCTGGTCACAACCACACTTTGATTGTTTTTCTCTCCCCGCGTGTGTGTGTGTGTGTGTGTGTGTGTGTGTGTGAGTGGCCCAGAATCATCAACTTCTCCTGCGTCAGAAATATTTCTGCTCACAACTCTTTGAGATCTGGTTCATTATTCTGATTGGTCCAGTTCAAGACTAATTGTCTTCAACCTTAAACAACATCTCGGTGTCATTACCTCACAGGCAGTGTCCACTGATATGGACCACCCTGTGTCATTCTTTACCAAGTATTTTCATTCAAATGGAATGACTGTGTCTCCATTAGTTCCACTGGTGAGTGGAAATCATAACCTCTTCAGAGAAACATTTACAGATTTGTCTCAGTCATTGGTGGTTTCAGCCATTTATTCTAGTATTAATTCACCGTCTACTGCCTAGTTTTGTACAGGAGGAGCTGCAGCCTTTCCCACCTGCCGTCGAGCAAGGGGCAGGAATTCAACCTGGACACTTGACTGGTCTCCACTGCAACAAAACACCTTCCACTTTAATGACACCATTAAAACCTCAATGAAAAATGAACTGCTGCTGAGTGGAATTAATTATGTTGTTGTTGTTGTGTGTGTGTGTGTGTGTGCACCAGCATCAGTCAGCACACACACAGGAAAGAAAAAGAGAAACGCCAACATGGCAGGAATTGAAATGAAGGGGGAAATGGAATATGGTTATTGGATGAATTACAGAGCAGGCATCCATCCATTCATCCATCCACTCATCCATCCATTCATTCATCCATCCATCCATCCATTCAGTCAGTCAGTCAGTCAGACAGTCAGACAGTCGGTCAGAGAGACAACAGCTCGCTGTCACACACTTCTCCCACAGCTGCTGATATCTTCATACAAATAATCATCATTTACATTCTAATTAAAAATCATCATTATGTTGATCATTTACATCCTAATGAACTACATTTGCATGGTAATCACAGCAGGAGTGTGTTGTGACAGGGGAACATTCAGGCAAATAAAGAGCTGGAGTGGACAGAGTGGACAGAGCGTCAGATAAAGACACGCTGAAATGAAACACATCGGCGCAGATGGGAGTCTCTGATCCACTTTGACATCTGTATTCAATCGGGGGTCTCTCTCTCTCTCTCTCTCTCTCCACAGGGACCCTGGACACGACACCACTAATAAATAAACTCCTGTTGTGATGAGAGCTGCAGCCTCTGATAACGACTAAATAAAGGTGGAGACCACAATGGAAACATGTCTTATTGAGTCGATGGACGGATCCTATCAAAGCAATCACTCAGAGTACAGAATCACCCACTGATTGGTTGGATCCCTGCTCTTTCTGTATTCTCTTTGTGTAGTTAGTCAATAACTTAACTAACAAACCTCAAATACCTGTCGAGGTCGAGGTTTGTGTCTTTCTCCAGATCACACTTCGATCCTTAAAAAGATTTGTCTTTTTTGACAGAATGAAATTTGGCATCATATGAAGTGATGTCTGTTGGAGCCAGAGCTTTATGAAGACGGCCCCTGGTGGACCCTAGTGGCATTTCACCACAAACTGTGTTAATGGTTAGTTAGACACGTGTGGTTGCACCAAGCACGTGTGTCAAGATATTTTTAATGTAGTGAATGTGCAGATGCAACATTAGGTCAACATCATCTTCTTTGTCCAGATAAATGTTTATGTGACTGACCATCAGAGGGCAGAAAGGAGCCTCAGAACCAAAGGTTCCAGACTAGTCTAGTCCAACGTACCATCAATGTCATTTATAAAAAAAACATTTTCTTATGTTTTTAAACATCTTTCCATATTTGGGACTTTCTTGTGTTAGCAGCAGCAAGCATGTGGTTCCTCTGGGATTTAAACCCAGAAGTCTCTGCTTCTAAGGCAGGCGTGCTAACCGCTACACTATGGAAGTAACAACTTTATCTCCTCTTTGTCTGTGTGAACTACAACTGAAGAATCCTAGACATGCTCCTCCTGCTGGAGAGTTAGACCCGTGTCTTCTAATCAGAAACACCTGCCTCCAATCAGCACACCACCTGCTGTCAACACTGTAGGAACCTTGGCTGTTCTGTCGGTTCTCACCAGAAGGGTCTGTACTGCTGTTGTCAGTGGTGAGTTTTGATTTACTTGTAAAACGAGATGTGTTAAAGATTCTGAGTTCTGTTGAGGTCGTCACCTTCATCTTCACAAAACATTAGTTTGAATTCTGAGGATTGTTGTTTATTCTTTGACTGATCTGATTGTTGTACAAACATTTATTTCACCTGCAAATGCAGTCCGTAGGCTGCAGCCCACATGGCAGGTCACTAACCACAGAGGTGACAAAAGAACATGTTCTAATCTAATATTTTAGAACTTTGAAGAAATACCAAGGACACTCTCGTCTGGGAGACCAGAGAAGAAACAGAACATGTGAAACATTGTGGCGTCTGTGGAGAAGACTAAAGTCTGTGCAGCAGCTCTTGTCCAAGTTTTTGCTTCTAGTTTGAGAAGCTTTTTTTCAGGGACAAAAACAGAGGTCAGGCTGCTCTGCACATCAAATGTGGAGGTCAAACTGATCCACGTATCAAATGGAGAGACCGACCTGGGCCTGGGCCACACATCACACACTGGGGCAGCATCGGGCCACACACTGGACACATTTAATCTGCCCCCCCCACCCCTCCCCTCCTCTGGGGACAGAGAAGCTCAGACAGACAACACACACAGGCGCGCCGACTTACATCACCTCTGGCAGCTCGAGTGCTCCTTCTCTTCGTGGCTTTTCTCCTTTTCTTACCTTCCACTGTGGACAATCTCCTTAACACCACAATAGCATGGAGGATCCCTTTAGACCACAATGCCTTGCTGCCGCAGCACGGACAATCCGGTCCAGCTACAAAGCACAACATTCTCTGCTGCTCAGCTTCAATTAGCTGTGCTCTGATACATCTGAATGCAGCTCCAATACGGCCGTGGTACAATTTAAATATGGCTCAAAACATCTCACTTCAACCTCACTGATTCTCAAAGCAGCTTCAAAACTCTGTGGCTGCATTTTAACACACGCCTCAGTTCATCTGAATGCAGCGGCCGCAGATCTAAATAGGAGAACGGGGCAGTGAGTCTGTGAGAGCAGCTCAGATTCACTACCTGAAGCCCCTCGGCGTTGGCCGCCGTGGATGAATGAGTGACAGAAAGGAGAGAATTCCCGTCGGGCCGTCCAGTCAAGGGTTCAGCTTGACTCATAACGGCGGGAGCTTAACGCTGACTTAACAAACTGAATGCTTGTCACGACTGGTGACTGAAGTATGTTGACCGTCGCTGGTTGTTCTGTGAACGATTCAGTTTGTCTTGAATCAACATTTACCCACAAATACCATGTGGATGTGTTTACTGTCCTCTCTGAAGCTCTTCACTGAAGAGTCCCAGGAAGACCAGGCTGTTCCCTCCACCACACACACACACACACACACACACAGACGTTCCAGTTTCACCTAAGTCTTCATTACTGAGATGGACTTTTCATTAACAAAATGGAGACCATTTATCCAGCAGGAGGTGCAATAAAGATTAAAAATCACCAAATCCTTGGAAATGTTGGGAACTACGGGACTCATGTATCACAGAGAAGAGAAATGTTGATGACGCTGGAAAACACACGTGAAGTTGGACCAAGGTGACCTGTGGATCAAACGCACTCTGTTCAGCCCTGCCCTGTGATGGATGATTTAGAGCAGACGACCAGCTGAACAATTCAATACATTATATACAAATAAAAAGTTCTACCAGTGAACTGTTGGCTGAGGTATTCCATGACACAGAAATGTTCGTTTTTCAGAGATTTATACTTAAAATCCAACCCCCCCGTTTACCCTCCCCCCCCACTACCTGCTTTATTTTTGCTCTTTATTGCCACCTACATTTCTTTTCTTTTTTAAAAAACAAATGTCAAATGACTGGCTGCAGCGTTTCCTGGTTATTTGTCACTGGATATTATTGTAAGATGTAACCAGAGGTGAACGGTTCAACTTAAACCCGTTTAATAAACAGCGCGGTGATCGCGGCCTCTCCAGTCCTAAAGTGTCAGTTCATGCAGTCTTCTTGGAGTGGAAAGTGAAGAGGAGCTCCAATAAGAGGCTTTACTAATGTGAAGAGAGGCCCGTCACCCATTATGTACTTGTACTTATTGGCTCCTTTGGGAACACAAGAGGCTTTGGCTGCTCACTGGCTGCATGGAAGCCAAACAATAAAAGACTGTAGAGAGCGTGGAGCAATGGATACAACTGTTGTGCTGACTGAAGCTTACCTTAACTGGCTAGAGTGAGGGAGGGAGGTCCAGTAAGAGGCTTTGACTGAATACAAGACCTCAGGACAAAGGACAGCTAGCTGAACGGAGGTGATGAAGACGTCCAGCCCACCCTGGATACTTGAAAGACTGAAGCCTGACAAAAGGCTGTGGCCGGGTCTCAGCTGATCAAGTGTCTCTATAAAGGCTCCTCACACAGGACAGGATGACCTCGGGGCCCTCGTGTGATTGGTGATAATTAATGGGCCAAACAGAGTGACTGAGTTTTAAATGAACTGTAAATACATCGTATCCAGTGACCACAGTGAGACGAAACGGTGTCACTCATCCACTTTGAGCTGTGTGTCACTGACATTTATGGTCAAATGTTTTGATTTTTCTTCCAATCCGATGTTGCTGTATTTGACCACATGGCCATAAAACAGTTGTCTCTTTAAATGAGTGAACATCCAGTAACTCTGAGAGGAAAAGGTGTAAACTGATGGGGAGCGGGATGTAATTCCAGCCACTTACATTTTCTTTCACACACACACACACACACACACAAAATCAGTCTCCCAGACAGTGTGTGTCATCACTTAGCCGGCGGGTACAGTTGTTTTCCTGTCCGTCCCTGGAGACCAAACTGACACAGAGACGACCCAGGAGACTGTTTAAGGCTGCCAACAAGCACACGCACACACTGGACACACACACACACACACAGGACAACAAACGTATGTGTACGTGTGTTCTCCAGAGAAGCTCCTGACTGGAGGCTCCGCCCTGTGTTTCTATAGCAACAGGCATGTCATAACAGTTCCCTCTAATAATGTCACCAGGCTGCACACAGGTACACCATCATCTTCATCACCTTCATCATCATCACCATCATCATCATCACCATCACCATCATCTTCATCACCATCACCATCATCCCCATCATCTTCATCACCTTCATCATCATCACCATCATCATCATCACCATCATCATCACCATCATCATCTTCATCATCATCATCATCATGATTTGGTTTTTTTTTGGTGGTCAGGTGGTCAGGAGGTCAGGTGGTCAGGTGGTCAGGGCCGTGACTCACCCGTTGGTTGTTTGAGTATTAGTGAAGTGGTTTAAACAGAAACAAAGTAAACGATGACGGTCAGTGAAGCAGCTGTTCTCTGTGACTTCACCCTGTGGTCAGGACCAAACACACACACACACACACACACACCTTTTGTCTCTGTGTTAAGTGTTAAGTGATTCCCACAATACGTGATTATGCCGAGCCATTGAGCAAAAGCAGAGAGAGGGAAAGGCCTGGTGTAAACAGTTACTGATCCTGGACAACCACACCACCAGGGGGAGTCCTTTGTAGGAGAGTTTGACAAAATGTCGTGCCTCATTCAAATGTGTTGGCCAATCAGATAATTGTATTATATGTGAGACAATACGTTATTTATCTTATTTACCGTATAAGTTGCGCTTTTTTCTCATCCTTTGGCTAGGTTTCCGACTTATACTCAGGTGCGATTATATATTAAAATATATAATTTCACTGAGCAGCTGGTCATCAGTGCTGGAGGTGAATCGTTAGCCCTGATTGGTTGAAGTCATACTGACAAATACCAACACTTCAAAATCCCCATGACTATGAGTCGCATGTTTTTGTATTTTGAACCANCCGCCCCCCACTCCTCCACCTGTCTCTCCATCTCTAGTTTTTAGTTGGACTCAATAAACATCAAGAAAAAGAATCATTTTTTTTCCAAGAAAAAGCCTGATTCTAGCAGTTCATGTGGTCTCTGACAGCTCCACGTTCCTCCGCTGCTTCACTTTATCAACTAATGGCTGAACGTTTGTCCTCTGTCGTCAGGTCAGCGCTTGAAAAGTCGCTCCTGTCAAAGCTTTTATAGTGAGTGAAACGTCGGAGCAGAATTGTCTTGTCGCTGTCAGGACTCAGGCTTCTGGCTGCCGCACGTCATCATGTGACACTGGTTTCATCTCCTCCTCCTCCTCCTCCTCCTCTTCATCTACAGCTTCATCATCAAACAGCTCCAATGGATTGAAGTGGTTTTTCCTGCTAGAATCTCTCCTGGCTGATCGTGTTATTTTAAATATGGTGTAACTGTATCATTATTATCATGATGTAACATCCCATAATGACACAGCAGTATTAAATATATCTTATTTTGTTCATTAAGTGTGTGTGTGTGTGTGTGTGTGTGAGACACCTCTCCAGCCCTTTGTTGATAACACACAGATCTTTGGTGGCTGTTGGAGGAGGTGAGGGTTTGTGGTCAGGGCAGGAGGGCAGAAGGGCAGGTAGAGAGGGGCAGATTAAACAGGACAGGGCAGAGAGGGGGGTCAAGGGGGAGGGGTCCACGGCCTGTTGGGCGCCAGTGAGCCAGCACAGATTACTCACGCTTAACCTGGACTGGAGCAGCTTAGCTCTGACCAGGACACACTGCACTCTGTTCTTCTGTGCTCGGCTCAGTAGGAAGCCCCTCCCCCTGGACCCCCCCCCCCTCCACTGAGAGCTGGAGATTTTCCCTCTCTCTTTCTTTTCTTTCATTCACACCTGCAGTGTTTCACTGATGGCACTGAGGCACTGTTCTGACTGTCAACGTTCTGACTGTCAACGTTCTGACTGTCAACATTCTGACTGTCAATGTTCTGACTGTCAACATTCTGACTGTCAATGTTCTGACTGTCAACGTTCTGACTGTCAATGTTCTGACTGTCAACATTCTGACTGTCAACATTCTGACCGTCAACCTCACGTTGTCTCTCTGATAACGTCTGTGACCTGAAACATTTACAAGGGTTCTTGAAATAATTGTAACATTCCAAATGTATTCTGTGACTTGAACTGCAGTCCAGACTGCAGATATACAGTCCTAGTGATTGGTCCTCTGATCTACTGTAGTCAAGGCCAGATTTCGTCCCGCTGGCCCCGGGTTTGACATACAGTAAGTGCTACAGATTATTATTGTAGAGTTTTGATATATAATATAATATAATATAATATAATATAATATAATATAATATAATATAACATAAAGACATTTGAATGTCTTTATGTTAGCTAATATGAAAGACGGAGGAAACTTTAAGCTAATAACAAGCTAACAACATGCTAATGAGTTGAGAGTCTCCGAGGTCTCGTCTGCTCCAGCCAATTAGTCAACACCCAATGGGACATCAGTTCCTATTAACAAGGTGGCTGCTGGGTGTCACAGTGTCACCCCCCCTCCTCCCTGCCTCCCCCCTCCCCCTAGGTATATCCCAGAGATTCACACCTCAGCTTTGTGCTTTCATTAAATCCTTCATTTTTTAAATCATTTTTTAGATAAAAGGGTAATATTATAATATTAATAATTGTGGGGAATTAAATACAAAACAAAATAAACAATACAACATTGTGTTTTAAATGGTAATTGAATCAAGTTATTTAAATGATCACTTTGATATAAAAAAGATGTTTTAGTAGATCGTAAAACCAATAAACAAAACCAACAGTTGTATTATTTATCTGAAAACATTTGTATTCTTTTTGATTCTTTGATGATTTATTTATCTCCCAGAAACTTAGAGAAAGACAGACAGTACTTTATGTTTTAAGATTTTTTTTTCATTATAACATTTTGTTCTGTAAGTCAAAATGATAAATCCTGGTTATTATTATTATTATTTTATTTTTATCCTAAATCACAATCATGTTATAATTAATTTTTTTAATAATTAAATAAACATTTAGAGTTTTTTATTCTCATCATTTTTGGCGTTCTTTTAAATATTATTAATTAATACTCCTCTGCCATCATGATAAAAAAGAAAAAAGTACATAAAATAATCTGTGTTAAAGATGTATTTTCAGTATGACATATTTGTGATATTTGATTAAGAAAAAATCGCCGAATTTGAGTATTTTTGCGGTGAAACACAGAGCAGAAATCCCAGGTGAAGCAGTGGAGAGCAGTGACTCACATCTGAGTGACAATCCAGTACAAACTGGGTCACATGACGCGTCTGTTCCTCAGCATGACTCTCTACAGTCTGTGTCATGTCTGTAATGTCTGTGGGAGAGAATTGTTCCTGCTGATCGGACAAGAAAGAGCAGAGAAAAGTCAGCAGTGGAGGCAGGCAGTACTCCGCCTCACCACAAGGGCTCGTACGTGAACTAACAGGTGCTCTCCAGCTGGCGTCAACAAACAATTAAAAGTCGGCGCCAAACGAGAGGCAGTAGTCGGCGAAGAACAGCGGTGTTTATGCTGCGTCTGATCAGACTGACTATGGATTGTGTTTCAAGACTGAAACATCTCTCCACTGGACTTCCGGTCCAAACAGAAGGTGATAAGTGACGGAAGCTAACGCCTGAGCTAACAGGTTAGCTTCAAACTACGGGACAGAAGAGTCGTTCTTTTTAAATGGAGAGGTACAAACGAAGAGACTGTCGGTGTGTCTGTCCTGTCAGAAACCGCCATTACTGCTGTCCTTGTCTTTTATTGTCGTCGTGTGATAACTTCCGGACAAAACAGCAGGTGTTAAGTGAAGCTAAGGCCGGAGCTAACAGGTTAGCTTCAAACTACGGGACAGAAGAGTCGTTCTTTTTAAATGTAGAGGTACAAACGAAGAGACTGTCGGTGTGTCTGTCCTGTCAGAAACCGCCATTACTGCTGTCCTTGTCTTTTATTGTCGTCGTGTGATAACGTCTGGGCGAACTCGGAATACTGTGACCTGAAACATTTACAAAGAAGCCTCCGCAGACATGGAAGATCAGCCACGAACATTCAAAGACAGATTTATTTAGAAACTTCTGGAAATTAAAGGATCGATTTGTCATCGGATGAACAACGGAGACTAAACATTAGCCTCGACGATGTTAAGGTAAGGGGAAACCGAGAGACACAACCACGGACTTCAGCTAGAAGTAAAGGTAAGGCTAACAGTGGTTTTGGTTTTTAAATATAAGATGGGAGTAAGTAGGAAAATCTATTTGATAACTATATTTTTGGCCTAAAATATATTTTTATTTTATTTTCATAGACATTTGATTGAAGCAGCAGAATTTAAAGTTTGAAAAATATTTTTTCCTGAAGGTCCAAATTAAATTAGTTCTGCACTCATCTCTATACTTTAATTTGTTTACAGTTAATATGAATTTCTTAGACACAGGAAGGTGTTCTGTCCGTTTGTATAAAGAATCGTTCTTTGTAGAACTAATATGTTCCTGTGAATATGTTGGTGTTGGTGTGAGTGGAACTGATGGAGGAACGTTGTTGTATATGAAGGTATGAAGATATGATGGGATAAGATGCCCTCACTACTGTAAATCTGACTCAGAGAAGTCTGACCTCACTGCACCTCACTGATGCAGCTGGACCATCAGTGGACCATCAGTGGAGAAGATTCTCATCATCAACTTTAGTTCATTTTCCCCCCAAAATCCAAATCCTCCCGAGCTGTAAATGGACCTCAACAGTAGTGGAAATAAAGTGCCGAGAAGAGACGAGGAGATATAATTAGAAATTAAGGATTTTCCCGGGTGTAAACAGGGGTAGAGAGAGACTGTTGGGTGATTGGAGGGTGGGTCAGCAGAAAGTGATATAAAGCTCTGTAATTGTAGGTGATGTGTCGGTGAAAGTGATTTTGTATCGCAGCACATCACGGCGCGTCTTTGTGACTGTCACATCAATATTCCAGCAACCTCTCATTTAAACATCAGTTGTCACCCCTCCCCCCGACCCCCACCCTCACCCCTCATCCTGGGCAACTCTCTCTCTCCCTCCCTCCCTCTCCCTATCTGTGAGTCCACACCAATGACCTCCTCCACTGATCTGTTGCTGATAATTCATGAAGAAGGTTTGAAACAACATTTCCAAAATCTTTTCATCTTCTGTGAAATTTTGATTTATTGGACTTTCTGTTAAAACCTCCAGAACAATGATGGATGGATGGATGGATGGATGGATGGATGTCTAATAGTCGGGAGACGATCATCTCTGGGAGCTTCTGTCAGCTGTGACCTTTGCAGGCTGAGTGACCGGAGAGAGAGTAGAGTCATTACCAGCCTTTATCCTTTTGTGTGTCTGTCGCAGCCCCGCTGTGAAGAGAATAGCGCTGTCATTTAGGGCACCGGTTCTAAACCCAGGGTTCAGGATCCCAGGCGGTCACAGGATAATTTTTCAAGGGTCATAGGATATTCATGTTTTTGCTTTTGTTTCTTGCTACTTTCCTTCAACCCACTGTGATAATTAGTCGCTGGGAGAAAAGGGAGCAATTCTTCAGTGAACTGCAGTTCAGGGTGAAACCACAGGGTCTCTTTAGAAGATGAGGGCAAACACTCGGGGTCTGATAAAATGAAATGACTTTAAGGAAGGTTCATTTTATGGTAGAAAAATCTTTTCTAACAGCTGCGTCTACAGAGTACAGTCGTTCATATTGTCTCTAATCTACATCATTATTATAGAAGGTGGTTTTTATGAAGCCTGAGATCAGACTGTTGTTCTGCTGCCTGTCAGTGTTCACCGTGTCACTGATGAGCATCACTTATAGAAGGTCGCAGCACAGGCAGGTTTGAACAGGCAGCCAGGACCCCAGGGTCTGCAGAGTCCTTTTCCCAAACCCCCTCTGCCCCTCCCCTTACAGGAAAGAACACGTCAACCTTCACTGTTCTGGCATCACGTTACGGCAGAACAATTCCCCGGGAGGAACAGTATCTCTGGTTCACATGTAGAACATCAGCCACGGCAACAGACAAAACTACAGCTCATGTGTAGGATCCTCTAATATCTGTTAGGTTTATACTTTACTTCTTTTTATTTAAAACAGTTAGTTTTGAAGTGAATTATTCATTGTTATTCTGTATTTATAAATAAAAACAGATGGAGATCAAACAACAAAAGTGCTTTTATTAGTATTTACTACATAGAAACAGTGTATAAACAAACCAGGACCTTCTGGTTTATAAACAGCATGATGTACAGGAAATTGAATAATAAAGTTATAGACTAACAGCAAGAAGGTCGATGGATTGAGTCCCAGTTTGACTGAACCATAGATATGAGTTCAAGTACAAATTGTTGTTTATCTCTGTGTTCCTGAACTGTATATTATACCCTGGTGACTGTCAAACCTTGGGGTCACCTAGAAGTCATATGGGTCACTTGAAATGTCAAGTAATTGATTAAAAAAAAAATACTCCTTGGAAAATATTTTTCTAACATTTTTTTTCTTTTTAAAATTATGATTAAAAACACCAACACATTCTTTCACTTTACTGTATTTGAAATACAGCCTTTTCTCTGCACTGTTTTGTCACCACTGTGTTGTTGATGAGTTGCTGAAGACACTTTAGGATGAACTGTGGCTGGAACTGTGGGCCCTGCAGTTCCACTTTTGCCCTGTTGGTGGCTTTAGCATTAGCTCCAGATGAGCAGTTGCCGCTCGTGTGGCTACAGTCAACACAACCAGCGGTCAAACTGGTACTGTGTTTATAAGCAGTTGCTGCGTGCTGACCGTGTGACGTGAACACTGAGGGAACAGGTGTCACAGCACACGACCACTCCGTGTTCTCCTTCCACTGACGCCTCCTCTCCGTCTCCCTGCAGCTTCCTCCTCGTCCCCTCCTCCTCTTCCATCACCTCTTCCTTTGTAATGTTGAATCCTCCTCCACAGCGACAACAATACGTGTACACAGACTCAGCTGGACAAAAAGACAACTCACCTTAGAGAGGAATATCTAAAGCTGTGCTCACTGTCTAGGTTAAACAGATCTATGTAGTGACTCTCACTGATCTGACTCAAGTGGGAAGCCTTTTTGTTGATTGTGTTTGTCTGTTGAAATGGACAACTTCATTGCATGTTTTTTCCCTTCTATTATTTAAGTGTGTGTGTGTGTGTGTTTACCCTGGTCCCATGTCATGTCCTCCAGAGACACTGTTGAGTCCACGGGCCAATCCTGTTTGAGTTCCTGTGCTGGAAAAACATCCACAAACCTCAGTTACACAGGTGTTTTGACCTCTTTTCACTTTGTAATGACATCATCACAAATGCAATAGGAAGCAGGACAACCTAGGTAGGTATGTCCAAAGTCCGGTCTGGGGACCAATTGCAGCCCATGGTCTAATTCTTTTCATGGTCCACAGCCTCTGTTATAAGACGTGTCCAACCAGCACGCACAGATTTAACTCCATCTTAAATGACCGTCAGATATAAAAGGCAGCGTGATTTTGGACCTGACATGTTTAGATCTGTCATCCATGTGATGAAATAAAAAATATGGCACTTAAAATTTCCAAAACATGTTCAGCTGATCAAATCTGGACCTCTTCAGTAAAAGCCTCACCTCTTCTCTGCTGGTCATAATTCTTCCTGGTGTCTGTGTCACTCAGGATCCTCCAAGCTGCCTCAACCTCCAGGAATTTTCTCACACCAGTTTCTGCCTCTGTAGAGCCCTCACCTACGAGACGGTCCGGGTGGTACTGTGGAAAAACAACAGTCCAACATTGATGTTATTAACTCAGTCTCTGAGACTAATGACTCGTAGGAGACTATTGGGAGTGTGTTCACCTGTAAGGCCAGGCGCTGGTATCTGTGTTTGAGCTGTTGGACAGAGTCTGAAGGCTCGGCTCCCAGCACAGCGTACAGGTCCTTTGTTACTGCCTCACACATGGCTGCTGTGACCACACTGATATTATTAATTATAATAACAATTATATTTATTAAGACACGAGCATAGATGGTCTATTACACATCATAAAAACAAGCCTCTCAGCCTCCCCCCAACACTCCCCCCTTTCCTGCACGTGTTAATATTAAAGCAGGCAAAGAGAAAATACAACATAAGAGTTCAGAAATCCACAGAGCAACGTGAACTTAATGAACACTTAAATATTTAATAAACACTTCCCTATAGTTGAACCGTTTCCTTCTTTTCAGCAGAGTCTACAAGTGTCATAGGTTACGTCTGTAGCCCATACACCGCAGATTAATCGTTCAAAATTAAACTGTTAAAAAACGTATTAAACTGGACCATTTATAGAGGATTCTCAAAGATAAAATATTTATGTAAACGTAATAACATAGAACACGTCAGTGTTATACAACAAGTATTAATAAAACATTAAAGAACTAAATAAGAGTCATTTTAACAGCCATTCCGACATTGACTTGATGGAACGAACAGAAAATTCCCCGAATGACGCGTTTAAAGTTTCGACAGAATAATAAATGTAATGGTTTTAAAAAATAAAAATTAAGATATTTGGCGTCTCGGTTAAATTTTCAACTAGTTTTTCACCGAACCTACCTCACAGCACGACCGTCACCAAGAAGACGACATATTGTGCGTCGATGTTATGAGTCCCCCGAAAAACAAGATATGTTGAATGAAGTGTTCCGTGGAGATTTGAAAACTATGGTAACACATTATTAACAGTTTTACTATCAAAATGTACAATTACGTACTTAGTTTAGGATGTGATCACATTTTTTATTATTATAATGATTATAATAATAATCTTAAATGCAAACAGTGCTTTCAAAAGACTGATGAGTTAAAGGAAAGAGTCTATTGTGGCTCTTAATAATGTGTGGACATTCATCATTAAATAATGGATGGATGTATGAAATAAATAAATCACACATCAAACTTATTTAACTATTGTTATGTTTGCAGGAGAAAAAATTGTAAATGTAAATATTTTCTGAAACATGATGTTAAACAAAATGAAGTCTCGGCAAGTGTTTATTTATATAAATATCTTCATACAAAGTGACTTCAATAAAAAATCCCCCTTCGTCACAACACTTTAAATAAGTTAAAGGATCACAACGTCTGTTTAGCATAATGAGCTGAAGAGAATGAATTATAGTTGAAATAACCTTTAAATGAAGACAGGAAATGCTGTAACACCAAGTATTACATTAACACATTAAAGCTGTGCTTACAGTGTTGGAGTGATGTGCAGGAAAGAGCAGTGCAGGACCACATGCTGGGGAATTTGTCCTGATAATCCAGATCAGCAGCAATCTGTTAATTGAAATGAGAACAGACTTGAGGTGACACATTGGCACCTTCGTGATCCGACTTCCTGTCTGTCACTCACTCGCTTCTGGTTCTTTTAACGAGACCCAGAAGGAGGAGAGAGGAGCAGAAAGTCACATAGTGAATGACATCGTTATGCAGTTAATTATTACTTCATTTCGGGCGAATTAGGGCTCAATTAGTCAAGTGACAAAATATTCACCGTCACAATCCAGAGAAGAGACTCTGGTTCCAGCCGTCATTCAGTACAGCTGTATCATCAGAGGAAGTTGAGCAGCAGTGGCCTGGTGTGGTGGAGATGTTTACTGACACAGTGTCAGAGGTGTTGATCCAGAGCTCGGCTCATTTACACTCTGTGTCACAGTCGTTCGATTCTGCTCTGATATTCAATGTCACTATAATCATTTTATGTCTGTGGTATTAGTGGTCTGTGGTATTAGAGGTCTGTGGGATTAGAGGTCTGTGATGTTAGTGGTCTGTAGTATTAGAGGTCTGTGGTGTTAGTGGTCTGTAGTATTAGAGGTCTGTGGTGTTAGTAGTCTGTAGTATTAGAGGTCTGTGGTGTTAGTGGTCTGTAGTATTAGAGGTCTGTGGTGTTAGTAGTCTGTAGTATTAGAGGTCTGTGGTGTTAGTAGTCTGTAGTATTAGAGGTCTGTGGTGTTAGTAGTCTGTAGTATTAGAGGTCTGTGGTGTTAGTAGTCTGTAGTATTAGAGGTCTGTGGTGTTAGTAGTCTGTAGTATTAGAGGTCTGTGGTATTAGAGGTCTGTGGGATTAGAGGTCTGTGATGTTAGTGGTCTGTAGTATTAGAGGTCTGTGGTGTTAGTAGTCTGTAGTATTAGAGGTCTGTGGTATTAGTGGTCTGTGGTATTAGAGGTCTGTGGTGTTAGTGGTCTGTAGTATTAGAGGTCTGTGGTATTAGAAGTCTGTGGTATTAGAAGTCTGTGGTAATAATTCTAGTTTTAGCTTCTTTGTCGTAGCCAGTTTTAACTGCAGGTCTGTGGGCTTTTTTTAATGGTCAGTTAATAATAATGAACCAATGTCAGTGAAGACCACTGACATCACAACAGACAGATGGAGTTACAGTTGACTTTGTGTTAATATCTCACAAAACCACACATTTGTTTTTGCCCATTTTTTATATCAATTTTTACCATTATTATTATTTTTCCCAGTTGATCAGTTAATTGAACAGGTTAATTGTCATCTTATTTATGATTTCCTTACAGTTAAAACCTTTAAAACACAAGAAGCTTTTTTTAAAAAATATGTAAATTTATTTAATTTTAACATTTTATATCTGGTGTATTTCTGTGCTTCGTTTTTTATTTATTTATTTTTTTATATATAAATGTTATTTGACCACAGCAAGTTTCACTAGCGCTCTGGGCCTGAGTGTGTGTGTGTGTGTGTGTGTGTGTGTGTGTGACTTCGGCTAGCACTCTCAGCTAGAGCAGCTGTTCATTAGAAACGTGTGAGCTGAAGAAACAACACAGATGATGATAACAGCAATCTGTGGCTCATTAAAGACAGAAAAGAACAACCAGGCACACACACACACACACACACACACACAGGCCCATGTAGAAGCTTGCAGTCATAAAGCTGATGTTAATTACAAAAGACAATAAAAACATGAAAAACAAGCAGAACAACACAGACAGCTACAACATGTCAGTCAGACAGAATCACTGACCCACACATCAGATTCTCTCTCTGCTTCCTGTCTGACTACACACACACACACACACACACACACACACAGAATAAGGGGAACAGCTGCTCATTAGAAAGGTGTTAACTAAAATAATAATCAGCAGAATTAAAAACAACTCTGTCTTGGTGGAGGAGACGCTGCTGCTGTTATTGTCTTTAATGGACCAATCACACTTCAGCTCACGCCCACATCCAAATCAACTCTGTTCACTGACTGTTTCTGTTTGTGTTTTTACACAGTGAGGAGAGGAACCAGGTTTCCCTGGAAGTTGACCTTAGTTGACAAGTTGTCACTTTGGGTTTGTTGTTGGATAGCTTTTAGCTTCAGCTGTCATTTTGGTCCAAACTTAATCAAAATTAATACAATTATTTACATTATAAACAGATGTTTTTTTAATTCAATGTATTACATAGATTCATTTGTCTGTGTCACTTTTGAGAAAAAAACATTTACATAAATTCAGCCAATCAGTGCAGCCTAACGAAGACAACGTGATTTTGATCTCATTTTCTTGGACCCACACGGTGTCTGTCTGGACGTGTCCAGGAGGAAAAACGTCTGTTCTAAAAATCAGGCTTTTGTTTTGTTTTGTAAACAGCATGGTGTACTGGTTAGTGCTCTTGCCTTACAGCAACAAGATCACTGGTTCAATTCCTGATGATCTGTGCATGTGATGGACGAGCAGACTCTGGGACGTTGTCCTGTTGCCCCAGTGGCTGCTGGGATGGACTATAGTTATACCTTCTCAACACAACAATAAATAAATAAATATTTATCTATTTCTTTATTCATTTTCTGGGGTTTGCCACCGTGGCTCCATCTTTACTTCAGTGAACTCTACAGCTGACTGACTGTTGGTGAAATACCTGCACAGGAGGACAGTCTCACTGTCCACCACCTGGACGGCTCTCCCTCCCTCTGTCCCTCCCTCTGTCACTGCCTCTCTCACTCTCACTCTCTCTCACACACACACACGCACGTTCTCACTCAGTACGTGTGTGTGTGTGTGTGTGCGTGTGTGCTTGATTGATGATGGTCCCATCTTGCTGTGCTCTGAAACACTTTGCTGATTTAAACTGCTGAAACAGCAAGAGGCTTCATGTGTGTGTGTGTGTGTGTGTGTGTGTGTGTGTGTGTGTCACAGTCAACCAGAGCCAGGGAAACACAGCTGGTCAACAGAAGTTCAGGCAGCTGCTTCCTAAATAAAGACCACGTTCACTTCAGAACCCTGACTACTGCTGATGATGAATGAAGATGATGAAGATGATGGTGGTGATGGTGATGATGGTGATGTTGCTGCTGTTGCTGTTACTACTGCTGTTACTGCTGTTACTGCTGTTACTGCTGTTACTGCTGTTACTGCTGTTACTGTTCCTGCTGCTGCTGCTGTTAGTGCTGTTGCTGCTGTTTCTGCTGTTGCTGCTGCTGTTGTTGCTGCTGCTGTTACTGTTGTTACTGTTACTGCTGCTGCTGCTGTTGCTGTTACTACTGCTGTTACTGCTGTTACTGCTGTTGCTGCTGCTGTTGTTGCTGCTGCTGTTGTTGCTGCTGCTGTTACTGTTGTTACTGTTACTGCTGCTGCTGTCAACTATTTACACTTTTACCTCATTGGACACAATTCAATTTACACCACTGCACAAATGACACAAAACTGTCACCAACCCAAACAAACAGAAATGCCCCCCCTCCCCGCCCACCCCCCACCCCGACCACGACTTCTAGAGAATGAGGGTGGGAAACACATTAAGATGACATCATCAAACAACAAAGTGTAATTAATGTGTAATGTAATCACTGCAGCTGAATGTAAAAATGCAGTTCACTAGAAAGACTTTAAAGTTTTTACAAAGCAATTCACACACACACACACACACACACACACACACACACTTCCTACAAAAGTTCACATTTTCACAGTCTCTCAGGTGATTTTGAACGTAACTGTACGACTTCTCCAAAAATAGACGTGATGTAAAACAAAAGCCCCCTCACCCCCCCACCCCACTGTAATATCTGTGTGTGTGTGTGTGTGTGCTCCAGCAGCAGACCGGGTGTCAGGAACGTGTCAGTGTGTGTGTTGAAGCATAAGTGTGGACCATGTGTATATGTATTCATGCATGCAATGAATTAATTCCAAGTGTGTGTGTGACGAAGCGTGCACTGTATTCATTTAAAGAATGTGTGAATTCAAGTGCAGCTGAAGTTCATGTAAACTCAGAACTACAGTAAAAACTTCCATCACCAGCTCCTCGTCTCCCCCTGCTGCTGGAGCACTGCAACACAAACAAGCCGGGGTGTTGGCTCCCAACTCGGCTACTTTTGATTTGGTGTAACTAAGACAAATGAAATCTAATAATCTTCTAGATGAAATGACCTCATCAGTGACTCAAACCTCCGTCTGTTTAGTTGAAGACAACACTGATAAACTGGCAGGAATTGAAGAAAGACACTCACAGAGATCTTCTTCAACACCTCTGATTATGGCAGAAGAAGATGTAATTGTTCTGTCCACTGCTGCCGTCATGCGGGCCACTGCTGCCGTCATGCGGTCCACTGCTGCTGTCATGCGGGCCAGTGCAAAAGAATGCATTTTTTAATGCAAAAATTCAATTTTAATAAAAACCGTAGGTTT